TGGACCTCCACCAGGGTCCAGGTGTGGTCCTTAGGAGACTATGGGCGGGCAGGACATGATGCATGTGTCCAGCAGCTCCATGGACCCCAGTGAAGCTTCCCAGTGTGTGCTCTGCACCCTGGACCCCTTGGTGCCCCTGCTCTGCAGCCTGGAGGTACCGTCCCTGCTTGGCTGTCCCTGTGCAACACTTGGTGCTTCAGACACTGCCTGGGGACCCCGGGGGTCAGTGCCCACTCCTGTGCAATGCTGGGGACTGTCAAATTGTGCAGCGGTGCCGTGACCACCTCAGTATCTTCTTCACTTCATGCAGTGACTTAAGCTCAGGGTTGACTCAAAACAGCCTGAATTCTTCATTGTTCCTCACTCTGTGTGAAGCTGCCAGGTTTGACAAGGGGAGGAAATCTCACAAAGCTACACTCAGAATGTCAGCAACACCAACGAACTCCACTGAGCAGGGCTAATTTCTTCTCTGTTCCAGTGCTTTTTCATCTCTCTGCATTTCCTGTATATCCTCTTCCTTGGACATCTCTTCCTACAGATGCTCTCAGGATGCAGGCAGCTACAGAACAGTTCTCCAAAAGAAACAGCTTGGCCTGAGAATTAGTGTTTCATATGTTCTTTTCCTCGCAGAAAGGAAGACATTTGTGCAAAAGCAAAATAAAACAACAAGAAAACAGGAACACCAGCAACCCTCAGCACCTCAATGATGTCTAGATCTCAAATATGTGATGTGAGGAGGAGGGCAGATTTTGTCCTGAGAATGGCGTATTTGTTAGCAAAATCACTGCACCAAAACCAGAATTTTCCTCTTGAAAGCCAGAGAAGTAATCGGCAAATATGGCCATTTGACAGAGAAGTACCTTATCAGGCAGAAATTTCCCATCCTGACCAGGAAAGCCAGCAAAAGCCAAATTTTCTGAGCAGCAAGAACAAATGAGAACACACTGTCTCTGTGCACTAGCCTACCTCCCGATAAACCTCACTGCCTATTTGCTCTTTTCCTCCAGAATGGGAACTGCTTCTAGAGGCTCCCCGATGCAATATTGCAGGACCTCTGCTCTGCTCTCTCCCTTCCTCCTTCCTCCCTTCTCTTTACCTCTCTCTTTCCCCACTTCCAGCTCCAGCCCTTTCTCACAGGTACCTTCCTCTGACCTACAATTCAACGAGAGTCTTCAACATTCATAATTTCCAGGCGCTCCTGTGGTCTCTGGAATCCATTTTACCTCCAAGTCAGGAGCTTCTCTAGGAGGATGCACAGTAGCCATCTGTTTCTAGGTGAATTTCCAGATCTAAAGATGCTGTTGCATCTGTTCATGAAGAATCTGCATGTTTGTGTGACTGCAGATACCAGTGAGTCCCTGGAGGCCACTCGGTTATCACACGTTGGCATCAGAGCTGGGACTGGTAGGACTCAGCTGCACGTGCAGGAGAGCAGGACAACAGCATCTCGTGCTGTGAGAGCAGCTTGCTGCAAACACCCCCAGTCTGGCTGCCGAGTCATGCTGGTCTTGGGAGGTCTTGAACCTGGAGGCCTGGCTGTGCCCTCCAGCAATTTGGGCATGTTTCATACCCTGCACTCACTTTGCTGCTGCTGGAGGGAAACACAAGGTCGAATTTAGCCCAGGTCTGCCCAGACTGGGCTTCAGGCGCTGCAGGTACAGCCTGTGTCTCTGCTGAAGTGCTCTGAAAACAGAGTCCCACCCTGCGTGGTCACTTAGTGTTGCTTAGGGACTCATGAGTCTGAGTGGAAAAAGCAGAGTCACAAAATGAGTCCATAGTAAAAAGAACTGTGTTTTTCAACTGTGCCCCTGTTTTTTAAGGGCAATAAAATAACCCAGTCCTTTCCCTCTTCCCTTTGCTTTTCTCTTTGCAACAAAAGAGAGAAAGGAGAAAAAATCAGGGAGTAAATGATGTTGGTATTTCTAAAGAAGGTATGGGGAAAGAAATAATCACTGCCTTTTTTGAGACAATAAAGTTTCCCATGTGTCAGGAGGAAGCAGATTTAAAGATCCTTTCTTGGTCTCCTGAGACCTGCCTGTGAAAACCCTCCCTAGAGCAATGCGGGGTGGAGTGGCTGGGGGGGGGGCACAAGCCACCAGCTCGGGAGAACCCTCACTCACCCTTCCCCACCACTCTCAGCACCTGGACATGGGGACAGAGACAAGGTGCTGGGACTCCTGTCCTGAGGTATCACTTAAAGCAAAACTTCTCAGCCAGGAAGTTCCTCAGCTCTGTCAGAGGAATCTGCTCTGGAGGGGATTCCTGCAGGTTTAAGCACTCAGGAAAAGGGCCCCATGGTGAGTAGATGGACAGAGTGGGTCTGGGTCCTACCTCTGGCATGTGCTGTTCATGCTCATGATGGAGATGCATCCTTTGGGGTTGGATCTTTGAAGTCCAGGTTTGGAGGAAGGGCTCAGAGCAAAAGTAGCTGTGTTTTCTTCCTCCAGTTTGACCTTGTGTGCGACAAGAAGGACCTGAATGACATCTCCCAAGCCGTTTACATGCTGGGGCTTCTCCTGGGAGCCATGTTCTTTGGGCCCCTAAGTGACAGGTGAGTAGACACAACAGCCTGCCTGGAGTTATAGCCCAGCACCCAGGGACAAACCAGGCAAGAGTTCTGGATGTGTTCATGTTATGAGCATGAAACACACTCTGTGGGACACATCAGTGTGTATCCCATTAGTCTCTTCACATGCTCATGGGATCTCTGCAGATGCCATCTGTCTTCTCTTCCTCCACAGAATCGGTCGCCGGCCTGTTGTTCTAGTCTCCATGCTCATCCAGGGCTTGTTTGGCGTTGCAATTGCCTTTGTGCCCGATTTCTATGTGTACATGGCCTTCAGGTGCGTCGTGGGAGCTTCTATGTCCGGGATCACCATGACGATATTGGCCTTAGGTGAGTAGGATGTCCTTGCTCTGAGGCAGAAAGCAGTGGCCTCTCAAAACACAATAGAAAAAGGGGCATAAAAACTCATCTTGCAAATCAGCGAAGACAACACTGCAAAAGCGGCTAAGTAGGTGCCAACAGATGACAGACAAGGGTTGCTCTCAGCCCTTGGCTGGGACATGCATGGCTGGTTTCTGGGTGCAGGGCTCACTGTCACCTGGTCCCCTGTTTGGTGAGGACATCTCAAATGGTGTTCGGGTTAAGAGATGAAACCCTGCTGCAATCTCACTGTTTGCAGTTCACTGCTGTTTTGTCGTTCTGGTCCTTTTCACTGGAAAGACTCAAGGAGTCTCTCAGGTGAAATATGCAGCAATAAGAAAGTTTTATAGCCATTTTTCCCATGGGTATATACTTTGTGGCACTGAAGTATCCTGTGAAATGGGACTTGGAGGTTTAGGAAAGGAAACCTTGAGTCAACTCTGAAAGGCCTGACCTCAGGCTTTGTAGAGGGACTAGTTCAGGTACCTCCAAAACCCCTCACTGAGCATGCAATGACTGAGATTTCCCAAGGGACATGAGCAGGACAGTCACTGAGATACACCTCCGTGGCTCCTGGGGTGGGTTTACTCAGGAGGTGATGCAGAAGGTGAAGACAGGTCTTTCTTTGAACTGCCCCTTGGCACTTCTACCTCTTCTGAGTGCAGAGTGAGAGCCACAGAGTCTTTCTCCCATTCCAGTGCCCAGGTGGGGGCAATGTGAGCACCTCTTAACGCTCTGGCTCTTGTTATCAGTGTACGGAAAGAGCCCAATGGCTCTGGGACATAACTGACCTGGGCCTCAGCGCTTTGTGCAGGAGGTGAGGTACACTAGCTTCATGCCCCCTTACAGAGGCTCATGCTAGTGTGTATAACCCTGTGTTGGTGACTCCAATGTGTTTCTAATGCCAGAGTTCCGGCAGCTGCTGTCTCCTCATCTACTAGAGGGCTGTTTCCAAGGGAAGTGCATTGTCTGGATCAGGGGGAAACATTCGCACTGATGGCCCTAAATCTTTGTTCTTTTCAGCTATGGAATGGGTTGGTGTCTCCTACCGGCCCCACGCAGTGCTTCTTTCTCACTGCTGTTTTGCCATCGGACAGATGATTTTGGCTGGCTTGAGTTATGGTATTCGCAACTGGAGGCTGTTGCAGATTGCAGGATCTGTTCCTATATTTGCCCTTTTCTTCTACTTCTGGTAAGTGGGAGAAGGGCAGAGAGCTCCCTGCAGACTTGACAACAGTGGGTGTGAAGCGTGACAGGCAGGAGGCTCAGGACCATCTTGGGTCTGCCCTGATAGAGTGTGGATGCTGGAGGGTCTTCTGCTGGGATCAGTTCACCTCTTGGGACTCTGACAACTGGGACCAGAAGATGCTTTGGTTCATGTACTTGGGTGTGGACTTTATGGCCTCAAGTTAGGCCTGGTAAACACGGCCTGAAGAGGTGTTTAGATACCTCAGTCACAAGTGATACTCATCGCTTGCTGGAAGTGCTCACAGGGAGCTGGGCTCTGAGGCCAGCCAGCCCAGCTGAGCCAGCTCAGCAGGCTGTGGTGGCATCCCCTGATTTCACCTCCTTGACAGGGTCCTACCAGAATCAGCTCGGTGGCTGATGACAAAAGGTAGAATAGAAGAAGCTAAGAAGATCCTTCAGAAGGCAGCATCCATCAACAAGCGCACCATCCCACCAGGGCTCCTCGAGCAGGTATCGCCAGTGGCATGGGGCATTGCTTACACTTTCACCTACGCTTGTCTTCTCAAATATGTTTAAGCCGCATCGGTAAAGGTCCAGCCACCTACGCTTGTCTTCTCAAATATAGTCTGTTTAAGCCGCATCGGTAAAGGTCCAGGAAAGCAAAGGTCCAGGTTTTATGATCCCAGTGAATCTTGGGGGGAGCCCTTCTTTGATGTCAGCAAGAAAATGAGTTGTATATGAGTTTCATTTCTCTGGTCTGACTGTGTCCTTCTGCCTTTTGAAGCTAAAACCTGAGGCACAGACCAAGCCTGGAAGTACTATGGATCTCTTCCGGAAGAAGCACCTGCGCAAGGTGACGTTAATCATGTTATGCACCTGGTAAGACATCCCCTAGCCCTCCCTTTCCTGACTGCTAGGTGAGGTGAAGATGGGACTGGGGCCTGATGAGAACTGTAAACTCATTTGGTGCTTCTGGGTTCATGTGCATGTATATTTCTACCTCTGCCACCTTTCTGCCACTCAAGCTGAACCAGATCTACCATCTGTGGGCCTGGGGAGAAGCTGGTTCTTCAGGGTGCTGTGGGGTTTTTGAGAAAGGTTGGTGTAGTTCCAGCTTTCGGTATCCCTTGGTCTTGGGGTGATTTTTTGTCCCCATGCAAATTCTGAACGTGGTCAATATGTCATCAGTGGAGATCAATACTGCGTTCGCTCATGGACAGTATATGTGTTAGTGTCACCCTGCTCATCCCTCAGGTTTGCCAATAGCCTTGTCTACTATGGGATCAGCCTGAATGTGACAAATTTTGGACTGGACATCTACCTGACGCAGCTTGCCTTTGGAGCGGTGGAAATCCCAGCTCGTGCATCTTGTATCTGGTTCCTACAGTGGTTTGGGAGGAAGAAATCCCAGGGTTTTCTCCTGCTGCTGAGTGGTCTGGTGTGTCTGATCATCACTGGCATCCCTGAAGGTGAACAACCTCTTCCCGTTCCAGGAACACAGCCTCTAGGGAAGGGAACTGCAGAGCCCCGGCTCTTCCCTTCCCGGTCCAGCTCTCATCCTCCCAGCCTGTCTGGCTGCAGTCCCGTGCTCTCTCTCAGGGTTTGGGATGCCTCTATGGCCACAGTCCCAAGGAGATGCATTCCCAATGTGATGTCTTATTTTCAGCATGACTTTCTTCTTATTCAGAGCTGTGCTTGGCCCCTCAAGAGCTCCCTGCCTTTGGGAGCACACCATCGTCTCCTCGTAGGGAGATGCATTTAAAGGCATTTAAAAGGCTACTAAGCTTCCCTTCTTTAAGAGAGCGGGAAAAAGAAACGATCCTTTCCTCTGTTTCTTTGCCTGCACTCCATATCCACAATGCTTTGAAGAGTCACTGCACCATATTCCCAGCCGAACCCCTCCCAAAGAACTTGGGTTGCCAAGAGACTCACTTGAGTTTCCGTCTTCCAAAATCCTTGCTGCAGAGCCAATACTGGACATGGCCATCAGTAAATTGCCCACCTCAACATAGGTGCCCGAGAAATCTCGAGAAATCCTTTCTATTTGCCTAGAAGGTATTTTCCCAGAAAGGAATAATTTCCAATATCTTAAGTGGCAGATTTGCTTGGAAAATCAATTGGAACTGGCTCTCTGGCTCTTGTATGCCTAGAAATCTCTTTGAAAAGGCTGGTGACCTTGCCGGAACCTGCTCCAGCTCCACGCATGTCAGATCTGTGGTCATGTCATCACAGCAGTGCGATTCCTCCGTCTCTGCCTGCTTTCTGGAAAGGGGAGGGTGCAGCTCATCTCACACTGCTCCTGTGTGAGCAGCTGGGATTCCTCATCCCATTAAAGTGCTCTTCTGCTGCTTGTTGGAGATCACCGGGGAAGCCTTAGGGATGCAGTTTCTGCTCCACAGGGGAATTCTGTCAAGTGCTGACCTGTGATGCAAGGCAGTCCTTCCCTCTCTGTGTGATTCCCAGTGGTATTTCCTGACTTTGGTGCTGAAAAGGCTGCCTTGCTGCTAGCCCTCTGGACTGCTTCCTTTCTGACAGTGCTGTATGGGCAGTGATGGCCCATGCCACTTTCACCCATCACGGGGACCTTCCTGGATCAGCCAGCCCTTCCCTTGGCAGCTGTATGGAAACAGGAGGGGACACTGGTCCACCCATTGGGAAGTGGTTTCCCTTTGGGCAGACTGATGTCTGGGTGATGAAATGAATGCAAAGTGCCATGAAGGTGATTCTCAGAGTGGAGCTGTCCTCTGGTCCAGGTTCAGGCTCTGTTTAGAGGCAATGGCTCCCTGTGTGGTGTGAGGCTGTGGCCACGTCTCCCATTGCAGCCCTCACGAGGTTCGAGTGGCGCTGGGCACCCGTGCCACAGTGCCCACCTCTTCTCCCCTCAGATCAGCCCGTGGTGATCACCGTTCTGGCCGTCATTGGGAAGTTTGCGACCTCGGCCTCCTTCTCCGCCTCCTACGTATACACGGCAGAGCTGTTCCCCACCGTGGTCAGGTAAGATTTCTCCCCTTTGCTCTCCCTGGGCCTGGAGGACCTTGACCTCAGCAGCGAGAGGATGGACATGGAATACCAGATGCCTGTTGTGGACTGTGTCCCAGTGCACTAATGGGGCCCTTCATGCCCCAGTGGTGGGAGCCTCGTTAGGGCGAGATGAAGGAGGCCGCACAGTGGTTTCACAGATCATAGAATCATAGAATGCTCAAGGTTGGAAGGGCCCTCTAGAGGTCATCTAGTCCAACCCCCCTGCACACGCAGGGTCACCTAGAGCACATGGCACAGGACTGCGTCCAAGCGGGTTTTGAAGATCTCCAGAGAAGGAGACTCCACAACCTCTCTGGGCAGCCTGTTCTAGTGCTCTGTCACCCCCACTGTTAAAATTTTTTTCCTTAAGTTTCTATGGAACTTTTGGTGCTTCAGTTTGTGGCCATTACCTCTAGTTCTGTCGGTGGCCAGCACTGAAAAGCGGCCAGCACCGTCCTCTTCCCTCCCTCCCTTGAGGTACTTCTAGACACTGATTAGATCCCCTCTCAGCCTTCTCTTCTCCAGGCTGAACAGGCCCAGCTCCCTCAGCCTCTCCTCACAGGAGATGGGCCTCAGGGCCCGAGCCCTGGCTCGTGCCTCGTGCCAGCCCTGCTCCCTCCCTGCAGGCAGACCGGCGCGGGGCTGTGCAACATGTCGGCGCGGGTGGCGGGGATCATCGCGCCGCTGATCCGCCTGCTCGGACGCTACCACCGCGCCGTGCCCATGGCCATCTTCGGGAGCGCCCCCGTCCTGGCGGGGCTGCTCTGCTTCCTGCTGCCCGAGACCCGCGGCATGGACCTCGTAGATGACACCTCGGCGGCTGCTCCCCAGCACAGGTGGGGTTTTGGGATGCACAAGGGTACCGGGTAAATGGGATTTTTGTTTCGAGAAGCGTGCGGATGGGAAGCTCTCCTGCAAAAGTTGCCCTGGCCATTTGCCTCTGCAACCAAGCCCAAAGGGGTATCTCAGACCCTTGGCGATTATTGCTTCCTTCTAGCCCATGAAAGAGGGGCACTCCAGCAAGGCCCCACACTCCCATTGTTCCATCGTGTCCCTAGGACTTCTGTTGTTGTCCTCCCATGCCGATACTGCAGCCAGGCCCTCCAGCTTTAGACATCACCTATCCCTCTAGGTCCCTGCTTGCCACAAAATGTGGCTGAATTGCACCCCTGTCCTTTTGCAAGCTGTCTGCTGTGATGAAAGGGAAGGAAGTTGCTTCAATACTGTGTGTCCTTCCCCGAGCGTGCTGGGCGAGGCTTGTGTCAAGTCAGAACGGGTCTCTGACTGCTTTCTAACTCTGTTCCCTTTCACTAGGTCCCCTGAAAACACCAACAGGACCTCTGAAAACGGACACGTGAAAGCAAAAGGTGGTGGCCCAGACAAAGAATGTGCAGAGACCACGTACTTCTAGCTGGTCCTGCACACAGCTGTAATCAGAGGCAACTGAGCGCTGTGCTGGCACTGAGGATGGTCAGGGTCTCCATCTGCAGTACACCAGCTCTCTCAGCCAAGCAGTCACTGCCAATTCTTTTCCTTTTAATTTTTTTTTTTTTTTTTTTTTTGCCATCTTCGGTCTCCCTCTATGGTTTTATTTTGGACATTGCATATAGTATCTGGTGTTCGCTGGTGCTCTCTTTGGGGAAAACCTGAAACTATTAATTTAAGGGAAAAAAAAAAAAGGTCAGAAATATGGATGAAACATTATCTCCTTCCATCTCCTGTCTCCAACAATATGAGCCTGGGAACTTCGTCCACGTGAATGACCCGTTAAAGCACAGAATAACTATAAAGGAGTACTGTACTCACAGAACAGAAAGCTGGAGCAGGAAAGCACAGAAAATTATCTCATATTTACAAAAAGAGTCATTCCTCTCATTTGTGTAGCATGGCCTTCTCACCCTATCATAAAAGCCCTCAAAAAAAAAAAAAGGAGAAGAAGGAAAAAAAAAGAGATTTCAAATGCTGGGTTAAGAAGGATAATTAATTGCTGG